TACTGCCCGTCCCCCACCACCTTCACGCGGTACTGGAAGCGCAGCATCTCCGCCAGGGCCCCCAGCAGGTCCATGCAGTACCCCTCCAGCTCTGCCCCCCTCACCATCACGTAGGGATCCTCCTGTGCAGGGGGACAACACAGAGCTGCAACATCCCCCTACGGCCACGACACCCCCCCCACAGCCACAACATCTCCCACAGCCTGCAGGGCCACTGGTGGGGAGTTAATCCAGTGTTTACCAAGCCCTCCCCAAAGCCCTCTCTCCACACTGTTGCAGGGACAACATTTCCAGGCTCGGAGGATGTTCCCTGGCGTGCCCCCTGCCTGCAGCCATCAGCTGCACTCTGCGACTCAGAGGTCCCACACAGGTGAATGAAACTCTCAGGATGAAAGCCAAACACTTTTCCTCTGCCCCAGCAAAGCCTCAGGTGAGGGGCACAGGCTGGGCAGGGCCTGAGCAAAGGATCAGAAAATTCACTCCACCTGCTGCTTTGCCCTTGCCTGGAGCCCAGGGTAATGCATTTGGGGGGTTAGAGCCTGGTTCACTCTGTGAGGAACAGAGGCATCAGTGTCAAAGCCAGCCCAGAAAACACCTGTAAATATATGGGAGGAAAAAAAAAAAGCCCAGTGCAATTCCAGCTCTGTCCCTGTCTGTGTGTCACTGCCTTACCAGGATCGTCGTGACAGTCAGGGTTGGGAGCCCCTCAACTTGTCCCCTTGAGTCAATGCCCTGCAAACCAAAAAAGGAAGGAACAGTTGGATTTCAAAACCCCAGACTTGGTCCCACCAGGCTGGGGCTTAATTTACAGCCTGGGGTTGTCAGGGGCGTGTGAGTTCAACCAGCTCCAAACCTCCCCCCAAGCTGCAGTGACCGCACACTGCTGCTCCCTGACAGGAACAGGTCACAGGACACTTTTAGTGCCTGGTCCGAATAAAAATCACTTTAAATGTTACAATTCTCCACATAGCGGCAGAGCCTTCCCAAGAGATCAATTCACGTTGCAGACAAAAGAGTTATCAGCCAATTAAGGTCTCATTAGAGAGCAATTCCAGGAGACACCGAACAGTGGGAAACCTGAGAACAGGAGGGAAGGAAACATGGATTCACTTCTGGGTGAACACTGACCCAAGATACAAAAGGAAAGCACAGACACCCAGCCATCCATGAACAGTGCATTTAAAACATGACCACAACCTGTTTCTGAATTAAGGCCTTTGGCACCTACACCTTCATTAGTAGCTCTGCACCAGTGAACTTCCACGTACCTTACTCACAGCATCATCATTCCTCCCAGCTCCTGCAAAAACACCACAACAAAATCAGATCCTTTTTGTCTGCAAATCCACCTGGACAAAACCATCCTCAGCCCCAGGGACTGGGCTGGTGGGCAAAACCACGACACTGCCCTGGGGAAAAGCCCCAGGAACAGCCAGAAGTTCCTCACCATCCAGTTCCAAGGCACTGGGTTTTCTTACTCCTCCCTTCCCCTACGAGTGACAGGTTCTGCATCTGAGATGCACAATTAAAACCACAATTTGGTCAAGACAGGGCTCATTAATTGCCCAGGATGATTTTTCTAGAGTATGCTTAGCATTGCTCCTTGGCATCAAAGAACGCACAGTGCAAAAGCCAAAAATCCCTCAAGATTAAAAAAATAAATAAATAAAAAATAGGGTGTTTTCAGTCTTTCAAGCAAAAGCTGAGAGTTTTTCATTAAATATAACAGCTTATTCATTCACTATGTATTTATTATTCCTCCTTGGGGTTTGCATTTTCTGGCCTCGTGCTGAACTCTACATTATTGCAAGACAAAACCTGTTTTTCCCCTCTGCACTACAGTTCTCCATGGGAGCTGGAAATCTTCACAAAGGAGTTCTCTTGTCTCCCTTTGGAAACTCATTAAAGCCAGTAACAGCTTTCTGAGGCCCCTTTCTGAAGACCTGTGGGGTTTCTTGGAAGACAACAGCGTGTTCTGGGGCTGCAGCTCCCCCAGGGGCGCAGCTGCTCAAAGCCCCTTTGTGAGACCTCCTGAAAGGCCCCCGAGGGACCCAAGTGCAGCCCCGAGGCCGAGTTTGGGGCAGGGACCCCTCCTACAGCCACGACCTGGCTGGGACAGGGCAGGAGCAGAGGCAGGGGAAGAGCTCATCCCTCCACTCGTGGCTGCAGAAACCACTGGGGCTGCAAAGCTCTGCCTTTCCCTTCCCCTTTCCCTGGGCATGCCCTGCCCTCCAGGGGCAGATGGTTCCTGCAGCATCCCGGGACTTTCAGAGTCCTACATCAGGGCTCACATCAGGACAAGACCCTGCAAGCAGCAGGAGTTAAACACTGGAAGGAACTAACACTCTAAAGAAGAACTAAACCAGATGTGGGTGCAGCCAACCTTTCTGGATCATCCTCCTCACCTGCCTGGCTGGATTCCCTCAGGAGCAGCAGGGCTGTAACCACGCAGAGGGTGAAGGGAAGACCTTTGTCCATGGGAGCAGAAATACCTCCTGCCCACAGGAACCTTCCTGCTGGAGGTGAAAGGCAAGCAGTTAAAGCTGGTCCTACAGTTCCTCATCTCTGGCTGAAACCAGGCCCTTTTATTAACTTTTAAATTTCAAATTTCTGCAAGGCTTCAAAGTAACTGCACATTGTAAATCAGCAACAGAGTGAGCAAAAGCAATCAATGCCAGGCTGTGCCAAGTCTCAAAACACTCCAATACTCTTGACTGTTTTGTTGTCACAGTGTCAAACAAGGCTCAGGACATCATTTCCCCAGAAACTATAAAAAGCAAATTAAAAGTGCCCAAGAAAACTTAGCATAGATGAGAGTATAAAGACAAAAAAATCCTACATGTGGTATGACTTGCTTCCACATGATGCTCAGAAACACTGGCTTCAGTTATCTCACCTCATCAGATTTTAGGAAACACCCCCAAAGCTACACTCCTGTGAAAACTGCTGCCATTACAGCTCAGTACTTTCCCTCACTCATTTTCTCTGTATTTTTCACCTAACGAGTGAAATTAATTAAACCTACACAGAAGAATTTTTTTTTCCCCCCTGGGTTGAATTTCAGTGCTGACTTTGGTGTTGCTGTAAAAAGTCCTTGCAGCAGCACAAAAACCGAGCAGGTTCATCACCCACCCGGGCATGGAAAGGAAATGCAGCAGCATCTTCAGGCAGGGAGGAACTGCACTTCTCCTGGGAGATTCAACCTGTAAATTATTGCTCCTTTTTCCTTTCAATTTGGTACATGCTACAAGATCATCTTTCTTTCACGTGGTCTCCTTCAAAACCCAAAATTTAAATCAGAGCTGGTAATACATTGCTGGCATCAGCTTGAGAAGGAAGAGCTGTTAACACGCTGGCTGCTGACTAAAAGAACAGAGTGTAAACCTGTAAAAAAGATTTTTTTGCAGAGGCCAATACACCGCCCTGGGTCTGATTTAGTACCAGAACCATTTAACAGAGAGAACCAGCTGGGGAGAGCAACGGGAGGGCAGAGGGGGTTAATTTGCTCCCAAGGGTGTAAAAGTGTTCCTTGGACAGTGCTTAAATTAACCCCTGCCATATCCCCCACACCCACCTGAGCAGCTACAAAGCTTTCTGCTGCTTTACAGCAAGACGAGAAGAGTTTGGGAGTCCCTCTGCTGCAGTCAGCTCTCACTCCTCAGCTTTTCAGTCCTTCAAAAGGCACCCAGAGGGTCCCTGTCACTCCCTGAGCAGTGCTGGAGGAAGGCAGCAGGCACAGCAGGGAGGGAGGAACACCCTTCAGCCAGGGAGGGCACCAGGTTTGGCCCTTCCAGGTGACCAAGAGCACAAACTGAAGGCGGTTTCTCACCTGCAGCAGCTCCTCCAGGCTCTCCTGGTCCGTCTGTCCAGGACTGGGCAGGAGCAGCTCGATGCCAGGGCACTGAACAAGCTCAGAGATCCCAGGCATCAGTCCTGGTTTAAAAGCTGGCAGAGGAGGAGTGGCTTCTGCAGGACCAGCCCCGAGTGAGGAGGCATCTGGTCCTTTCAAACATTTAACTTTTTAAGTCTGCATGAAGTCGACATTAAAGTTAAAAAAGCATTCAGATTTTAAAAAGCAGCACCTCCCTGCAGCTTTTCAGCCCAAAGCTGAAGTTTTACATGAGTGACTTTTGGTCTGGAGGATGTTAATGACATCTGCTCTGTGCCCAGACACACTGTGAGGCTCATCTTGGCAGATCACACGTTCTGCTGCTCAGGTACCTCCTTCCCCTCAGGGCCTGCAGTGATGCTGTGGGGTCACCTCAGTGCACCTTTCCAAGCCTTTGCTGCACAAACTTCAAGGGCCTCTCACCCAAACCTTGCAGGCAAGCAGTGAAGATCTGAGCCAGGGCAGAAAACTGAGGGAATATTTTTAAGCAAAACATACTGAAGACCATCTGAAAAGCTTTAGTCAGAGAAGTAAACCCCTCCAGCCCTCTTCCACATCAGTGTGATACCACTAGGCACAGATACCTTACTTTGTGATATCTCAGAGTTTAAATGTGCCAAACGATGCTAAAATCAGAGGCAAGAGCTCCTTTCAGCCCCAAGGAAGGGCCAGCCAGCCCTGCCAGCAGCAGTGTGAGCTGAGGAACAGCCAGCACTGTGCCCTTGGCAGTGACAGGAACAGAAAGGAGGTTTGGAGTGAGGCAGGTGAGGAGCAAAGCTTGGCTGCAGCATTTTCAGCCAGACTTCAAAGCTCCTGAGGGATGAAAGAGGGTCACCTGTGCTCCTGGCACAGCTGTAGAGAACCCACTGGCTCCTTGGGCTCTCTCTGTGTTACTCAGCTCCTCCTCCCAGCCAGGCTTTGGCCCCTGTGCTGTCTCACACAGCTCTGCCAAGACTTGCCCGGGTTCTGCTGGAGCTGAGCTGGGTCTGACCTGGCTACCACTCTGAAAAACAGCGAAATGAAATGTTATCCACAGAGGAAGTTTTCAAACAAACCATGTTTGTGTATCCCAAACCGCAGTGTTCTGTTACAGCTAGAGAGTCAACAGCTGGAGGGTTAAATATGTTTATTTTAGTAGTGTAAGGTGGTTTTACAAACAAATCTTTATGGAGTTTGCAATATACGCAAAAGAATCATTACAAAGGCAAAATATCCTCTCAATAATTGGGACTCTATGGAGCCTGAAATAAAATTAAACCTCTGTTTCTCTTAAAATGCATCTCAGTAAACATTGCTCTCTGTCACTGATAAAATGTACATCTATAATAAATGACATCATAATTAGGGGAGGGGACACGACAACATCCCTAAAAATAAAAAGTTAAAAAAAAAAAATGTGGGGAGGAAAAATTATTACTCTGTTTAGGCTGTTATTTAATTCTAAATATGTCCATCTAAAAAAATTAAATATCTCTCTTTTTTAAACATATCATTGAAAATTTTGCATGGCAGTGCAATACAGAAATAGTAAAATTCATCCCAAAAGTGCTATGTACAGCAGCATTGGTAAAATACCCTCAGCAGGGGCAGTGCTGTTCCCAGAGCAGACCAGCACGCTCCTCAGCTGTGAAGTCCAGGCAGAAGGCATTTCCTGTCCAGCTTTAGCCATTCCTTTCTCCCTCCTGTCTCCTTCCCTCGGGTGATGCCTGGGGACAAGGAGCAGTCCCAGTTCAGGTTCAGGGTGTGCAAGTGCCCAAACATGTGCAGACGTATCTTTGCATACACAGGTCTATATATATATATATATATTTATATATATAAACAAGCTGGGCTTAAAAAAGCATTGCTTTGGAACAAGAGAGCTCTTCTTCAAAGAGAAAATATGGATTTTCACTGAAATGAGCAGGTCCATGATGGAAGACAGACTTTATCTACTACATTATTAATTCCACTGCAATTCTGACTATTTTCCAGAGAAGACACCCTCAGAGGCCTCAGACTCTTCCAGAAAATAGAACAGGGAACATGATTTGAAGGCCAGCCTCCTCTCATGGATCCACAATTTGTAAGAGCAAAATTTACCTTAGCTGTCGTTAGCATCACACTGAGCTACTAAACATCAAGATTACCCGTGGTAAGAAGAATTACTGAAATTAGTCAAGACCAAGAGATTTGCACGGAGAAAACTGCGGATACAAGAAGTGGTCACACGAACAGGAGGCCGAACCGGAGGCTGGCAAAGGTGTAATTAAAAAAGAATACTCATCTATTCTTTTGGAGTCCTGACACTGAGCACCCTTGGAGGCGAGGGAGGGCCAGGAAGCGCTGAGCCCTGGCAGGCTGCTCTGAGGCCCCCAGGGCTGTGTTTTGCTGGGACAGGAGTGTAAACATTGCCTCTCTCAGAGCCCCCTGGTCACAGTTTGAGCATGAAGAACACCTCGGTGTCCGCAGCGCAGTCGGGCTGGGCCTTGGGCTGCGCTGTGAGCAGGGGGGGAGCGGCCACGTCCATGCAGACGGCCCTGGCCACGCTGCAGGCCCCCTCGGGGTTGCCCCTCTCCTCGATGGGGCTCCCCCCGAGCTGCCCCAGCTGCCCCTGCAGCCGCTGCCTCTCCTGGGCCTGCCGGGCCCTGTTGGCGATGTAGCGCACGCGGCTCTGGCTGCGCGAGGATGAGCGGCGCAGCAGCCCCGCGCTCTCCCCCTCCTCCTCCGACTCGCCGGGCTCCACGCTGATGGGGGACGTGATGTCGTTCTCCTGCTGGAAGGCCGTCAGCTTCTTCAGCTGCTCCGTCAGCTCGTCCCGGGACTTGGCCGGGGGCCTGAGGCCCGAGGAGCGGCGCTGCTCCCGCATGGAGCGCGTGACGAAGCTCCTGCTGATGCTGCGGTACTTGCTCTCGAACGTGCACACTATGTCGTCCGAGGTGAGGTCTCCCAGGCTTTTGGACTTTGCCTGGCCGTTCCCGACCGTATCGCAGGCTTTGGATTTGTTAGAAGACTGTCTGAGGCTTTCCATGTAGAGCCTGCTCCAGGTGTGCCTTCTAGGGATGGACGAGAAGGCATCCTGAGGGCTCCTGGCCAGGGGCCGGGGGCACAGCTCATCTGCCGGCAGCTGCCCCGACCTCAGGTTGGGGTTGGACTTGCTCTTGCTCACCATCAGCATCTCGTTGGTGCAGGTGGTAGCCGAGCGCGGGCGCAGCCCCCTGCGGATGGCCAGGGGCTCCAGGGGCTCCAGGGGCTCCAGGGGGTCCTGGCGCAGGCCGAGGTCAGGGAGGCTCTTGCGGGCCAGGTTGGGCAGGGACAGGTCGATGACGGTGTCGTTGGAGGACATGCTGGAGGACGAGGACATGCTGTCGCGGTGGCTGCTGCCCTCCAGCTTGCTCCAGATGCGGTCATTGCCGGTGGCATCGAAGTACACCTCTGCTGCTGGGGACAGGCTGCCCAGGGGCTGGGCTGAGGAGCCCGACACCTTCGGGATGTCACTCTTTGCCCTCCGTGCTGTCATGTAAGAGCTCGTGTGAGGAACAGAGGCAGGCAGAGCCTGTGCAGCCCAGCCCTTCTGGAGAGTGCCTGCCTGCGTGCTGTTGATGCCACTGCTCTGCTGTGGAAGAACAGCTGCTGCCCCCAGTTTCTGCCCTTTGGATTCAGAGGTGTTTTTCCTGTCCGTCAATACCTGCCCTGGTTGGTGGTTTTGCTCCTGGCAGTTTCCAGCAGGTTGGCCAGCACTGTGATCTGCTGCCACTGCCAGCCTGGCTCTCTGGGGATGTGCTGCCAGCACACCCTGACCTTCAGCCTTCCTGCACACCTGTGTCCAGCCACCTTCTTCTGAGACACCTCCTGCCACGCTCGTCCTCTCATCTTCCTGGGCTACTACACTTGTGTCAGCTGCTCCTGGGACAACCTGCACTTGGTCTTCTGCAGCCAGATTTGTCCTTTGTTCTCTGGTGAGTGGAGATTCCTGAGGCTGGTTGGATGTGCTGCTTCCTTCTGATCGAGCCTCGGTGGAGTGGTCAGACACTGACCCTTCTTCAGAGTCACTGTAGGGGGTAACGGGCAGAGGGAAGACAAGGCTGCAGTGATGGGTTTCATTGGCAAGAACAGGCTCCTCTGTGATCGTTTCTAGGCTGCACAAAGAAGTGACTGACCTCTGCATGGAGAAACGGCAGACATCTGCTCGGGAGGCATGGAAAGAGAGGAAAAAGAAAGAAGCAGAGACACAGGGTTAATTACCTCTCACAAACCACAGTTCACGCAAAGATTTATTCCTTCTGCGTTATCATTTTGTTTTCAAGGTAGTAACTGAGTACATAAATCATGATTCTTAAAATAACTCATGGATTCAGATGCCAGGCTAAAGGCAGCGAAAATCTCTGCTCACTCGGTTTCAGCTGCCCAAAGCCCTGTTGTTTCACAAATCTCAGTCCATGCACAGCAGCACCATATGACTGTTCTGGTTTTCTTATCAAATAGCAACAAGGCCCAGCAATTTGTGTCCTTTGTGTCCCCTTTTGTGAACTGAGTTTCCTTCCTCCACTGTCCAGCACAGCTTGAATGGCTCTTTCCCTCCCTTCCAGCTCTCCCAGGGTCAGTGTACCAGATGCCAACCAGCCCATGTACAATAATCAGAACACCAGTGCCCAGCCAGCAGACACGATCCCAGTGAGCAGCTGCTCAGGAGAGAAGCAGCACAGGACTCGTGGAGAGGGTTACAAATGGTCCAGATGACACAGTGGAATGTTGGCAATGGGACTTTCAAAAACAAACCAAAAACTTTAAACAGACTTTGTTCTCCTCAAAAAAAAAAAAAAAAAAAAAAAATCCAAAACTTGATAACTCCTTTTTCAAAAGCTCTACAGACAGAGGGTTGATGAACAGCAGGCTGACAGTACAACCCTGAAGAACCACCTGGAGAAAATGCTCCATCCCCCTCAGTGTCTATGGCCTGTCCCCCGAGGGCCAAAGCAACCATGCCAAACACAGCCCTCCCCACAGCCCCAGGGCACGGGGCTGGCATGCATTCCAGAGCCACCCAACACCTCAGGAACACAGGAGCAGGGGACAAACACAAACCAGGAACACAGGCAACAGGGGGCTCAAAGCAGGGACACTCAGCAGACAGTTACCTTTGACTTGCTTGTCCTTTCAGTTCTTAACTAGAGAGAGAGAGTGTGCATGTCGAATAATGGGACAGAACAGAGGAAAAATCCAGTTAATGTAGGGAAGGCAGGTGCAGGTAACAGGATAAATTAGTGCTGAGGGAGGGAAAGGAAACACACAGGGATATTCACACGTGTTCGTAGGATCCTAAGAATTTCTGACCAACCAGAGCACTCAATGGAATCCGTAAATGGACAGTATTAAGTCCATTATTTTGTCATAGAAGCAGACAGACAATTTTTGTTAGTGTTGAAGAAATGCACTCCGCTGGAGAGGGGAAGGGAGTCATGGAATCATAGAATGGTTTGGCTTGGAAGGGACCTTGGAAACCATCCAGTTTGAACCCCCCTGACACAGGCAAGGACACCTTCCACTAGAGCAGGTTGCCCAGAGGAAGATGGTCTCCTCTTCTACAAAGCCCTCTCCTATTGCTTTGGAAAAACAATCACCTGCACTACCAAAAACTGCCCAGGAAACACCTGCCTTTCCTTCAGCTCCAGGATTTCCAGCCTGGCACAGTGACCAGGAGCTCAGTGACAGGAAAAGGCTGTTCCCTGGCCTGTGTGCCATCAGCTGGCAGTGTCAGAAAGGAGGAAGGAACACGTGCCCCTAAGCAAAATCCAACATTCCCAGATTCCCAGTGTCTGGGAGAGTGTGAGGAAAAGCCCAGAGCTGATCAGACTAAGGAGCCTCCTTTTCCCCATCCAGGCTTGGCCAGCAGCACAGATTGAGGCACACTTGGGAGGCAGAACACTGGAAAATGGAATGCTGAGCCACAAAGGGAGAAGGAGACACTCGAGTTTCCTGTCCTGTCCCCGGGGCACTTCCCAGCAGCAGAATGTTGATTCCAAAGGGCAGCCCCGCTGCCAGGGCTGTTTCCTTGGTTTCCTGGCCCAAGGCACGGCCTTGCAGGATGGGAAGGGAGCTGTTTGTGCAAACAGAGGGGCTGTCACTGCACCAGCAGCGCCCAGGCCAAGGCACCGGTTCACCGTTTGAAGGGTTTGCTGATTCCATGCTTGGGAAGTCAGATGGATTTAATCAAATTTCAAGCATATCACAATATTTGTTTAGTGGCTCGGGGGGGCTGGCAGGGGAGCTGGCACTGATAATGGGAAATGGTTTCATATGTCACACCACTCAGAGCCTGTGAAAAGCCTGATGCCAATAATTTAGGCATAGAAAGAGCTCTGCTGCTTTGGATCAACTGCAAGTCACGGGAAGCGGCAAACATCTCCCCTCCCACTGTCCTGGTATTTTCCTAAAAGCTCAGAGCAGATAATGGAAAAATACATTTGAAAAAAAAAAGAAAACAACCAAAAAACAACAGAAGAAGAATTGTAGACACCCAACCAGATTAAACAGATCAAACAAATAAAATATCTTAAATTTCTGGATGAGTCTTGCAAAGAAGCCCCCTCTAGGTGGGCAGTCAGAATCTGTTCCTGAGAAAAGAATTACATCTTCAGAAGCACCAAAGTCACTTCCCCGTTCCTGAAAATGGAACCATCAGTGGACAATTAAGGACAAGGGGGAGGGGTTTGAAGAGAAGCTCTCAGAGTCACAGCCAAAAGCTCCATTCCTCTACTTCCTCCTTACAATTCTAAGAAACAGAAAACTCTTGTCAAAATCTCTTTCCTTCTTTCCCCCCCCTGCCAAATCAGGAGGGGGGGGAAAAGCCATTTTCCTTATTAAAATGTATACTGTGATTCCCTCTGTTCCATTTTCCATCTGTACAAACACACAGTTCACGGTCCCAGAGACCACAGACCTGTGTCTGCCTCGAAACAGCTCCTGAACAGGGCAGTTTAAGAAGCTGTGCCCCAACTGGGCACATTCTGCTTTGCAGTGGGAGATTCCAAGAGTGGCCCAGCCCGGCTGATGTCAGGGAACATCAGCTCACACTCTGCTGCTTCGTGCTGTGCAGCTGTGCCCTCAGGTCCCAGGCAGTGTCTGGGGAGCACTGAGTGAATCTGTAAATGTTTGCACGCTGGGAATTTACACATTTAGGATCAGAATGGGCTGCTGTGCTTATAGAATGGGATCTCCTGAATAACCCAGAGCAGGGAATTCCATCCAATAATCCCTGGATTCGTGGCAGTACTTCTGCAAGTTCTTTGAGGAAGGAACTGGTTAATGCTAGCAGAGTGCACATTGGACCTCATTCCTGATGTGGTTATCCCTCAGTGAAGCACAAGGACTGATAATGGAAATATTGTTTGCTGACATGGGTTTCCCATGCTCAATCTCACTCAATGCTCTGGTTTGGATCTTAAAATTGACTTAGTATCATACCACATTCACTGAGAAAAGCAGAGAAAGAAACACAAAACCCTGAACACACAACCCAAACACTCATGGACTACTGACAGTGTTACTACTGCAGATGGTTCACTAGGCATGGAAAGGACTAATCTAGACCAGACACGTCTACAAAAAATAAAAGAAAAATATTTATGCAGACTTCTTTTTTTTTCTGTCATTGCCAAAATTAAAAAAAAAAAAAAAAAGAGCTCTTGACAGCAAAACAACACGGAGGAGCCTCTAAGCAAAGATGCTATGCAGAAGCTGAGACGACGACGTGATCTACAGTGGGGAAGGGTGAAGAAAATCTGGTCTTACCAGTAAAGAATATAGGGGATTTACTGCGAATTTCCTCCAACTTTTGAACGAACAAGGCGTTCATTTCCCTCTGAAGGGTGCCCACTTGCCTTCGAGAAGGTTCAGACCAGTGCCTGGGGAATTCTGGGCTTCCAAGGCTTTCTAGACTGCTGGAGTTGGAGGATATAGAGCCATTGCTGGCCGCAACCAGGTTGACAGTGCTTCCGTACTTGCCACCTGCCTGGCCCTGCCAGCGCTGCCGGGAGTGAGCCTTCCCTCCGTGACATTTACAGTCAGCGCTCCTCTTGCCGGGGGTCACGAGGGGCTGGGTGCTCCCGGCGGGGTCGGCGGTGCTGCCGGGGGGCCGCGGGTCTGCCTGGGGCCTGGGCTGGGCTCTCACCACCCAGGTCCTGAGCTCCAGCCTCTCCTCCGCCTCGGCGCCGCCGCCCTGCTCGCGGGCAGCGTGCTCGGCCCACGGGCCCTCCGGGTCGGGGCCGTCCCTGGAGCCGACCATGCACCTCATGCAGTTGGTGGCCACGCCGATGGTGCCCGAGCCGTTGATGGCGCAGCGCGCGAACACGCCCTGCTTCTCGCCCGCCGGCTCCCGCGGCCGCACACGCTGGGCCCGCCGCAGGGGCTCGCTGAGGGCAGCCCCTGCCCGGGCACAGCTCTGGCTCTGGCCCTTAGCGGACCCTTGGGCCTTACCTTTCCCCCCCTGGGCAGCCGCCTCCCCGCCGGCGCCGTCCCGGGGAGCCGGGGACGGAGAGGCGCTTTCCGGCTCTTGCACGAAGCGGGGCTGGGAGGCAGCGTCCCCTTCCCGGTCCTCCCCGGCCCCTTCCGAGCTGGTGTCCTTCGTGTCAAAAGCGATCTCGGGAAAGCCCTTCTTGTTCTTCTTCTGGCTCTTGGTGGGGGCGCTGGCCGTGCGCCGCAGCAGGTGGCTGCTAAAGGAGGGTTTGCGGTGCAGCTGCCCAGCAGCATGACTGTCCAGAGAGGCCTGCTTTGGATTTCTGAGAAACAGCCCTTTTAGACCGAGAGCTGGCTTGGCCTGCAAAACAAATACACAGGTGCCAATATAAAAAGCCCTTCACGGAAAACACAGCTCTCTGCCTTTGGGTGCCAGAACTCATGAACAAATGATCATCCACACAGAGAGTCTCCTGCCATATTCCTGTCACCAGCACGAGAATTAAACCAGAAATAGGACAGGGACTGAAAATGAAAAAAAAAAAACACTAACACCAGCTTTGCAAAATATCACATCTCTCTTTTTTTTTTTTTTTTTTTTTTTTTTTTTTTTTTTTTTTTTTTTTTTTTTTTTTTTTTTTTGGCAGTTATGTTTTTAGATAACGTTTTCCAACCACACTTATCTCTGTATTTGCCATCCATTCCCTTTCTAGTATGTAGCTACTTATAACGTCTACATAAACATTAGAGATATTGAAAAGACAAAGCAATAAAAAAGGAATTACTTCTGTCTACAAGGATCTCATTCTGAAAGCTGAAGAGTTTCTCAGTTTCACCCAAAACATATGTATTGAAATTACAAGCTGGAAATGCATTCTCTAGGGACTGCTGGGAAATAAACACTGGCCATAATATAGAATATTTTTTCAGTCTGAAGGAGATTTACACTTCAATTGAATTGAGGACTATCACGAATAGCAGGTAACTATATGCAGACAAATGATCACCGGATATTTCAATTTCTATGGTAATTTCCTACCATACAACACTTATCCAAAGACACTCGTGTATGTTCTCATCACTGAGGAAACACACTATAAACAAGGGAAGTTAGTCAGCGTAACAATACAGTTCTTCATATTCTTCACTACTTATCAAAGCACTAAACACACAAATTCACCATCATAAATCTCCCATCATCATACAGGTGATTCACATGTCAGGGAGCAGCGTCAGCATTCCTGTAAGCATTCCAGCTGCACTTGCCAACTTTTAAACGAGGCCAATGCCCGGTACGGTGTTGGCTGCTCTGCAGGTACAGCCTCCTACACACAAACCACTCGCAGCAGGCAGTGACTGCCCTGCTAACCTGCTCCTCCTCTGTTCTCCTGGTTGCCCAGTGAGATCAGACCCCTCAGCAGCTGCAGCACAAGGACTGGATAAACCCGGGGTCCACCAGCCTGGCACTGAAAGGCACTGTCAGAGCCCCGTGACAGGCCCTGCTCAGCACCCCGGCCTGCTGGCGCTTGCTGCCAGTTCAATTTTCGCCCTGTGATGTCATGTGAGGTCACATCTCTGCGGTGCCAAACAGTGGGACAGAAATGTCTCATTTAAATTACAACGGTCTCTCACCCCCCAATAAGTATTTGAGTGCCTGTTCCTGCATTTGCAGTCCTGCCCTGCAGGATTTAATGGGCAGACACTGGCTGCCCTGTGCAGAGAGCCCTCTGTGTGCTGCCCAACCTGCCATGTGGCATCCAGGTTCCTTTGCTCACACTCAGCCCAGTGAAAGCATTCACACTGTTATTTCCATAATTGACTGAAGTTTAGTTACCACGTGCCCACCTCCAGTGTGAGTAGGACATGATTAAAAAGAGGCCTAAAACACCCCTTAGGATAAGATAAAGAAGGTAAGGATTGATTTTTCCCGCACAAGGCAAAGAAATTGTAACTTAAACACTGGGAAACCTTCTGTGGCAGCCAGGTTATTGAACAGTCTGCTTGGATTACTGTGAGACAAGTTGGCAAGTACATGAACTTTTGCTATAGAAACCAGACAATATTTGCAAAACCCAGAAAAAACTGTCACACAAACACACACACAAATAATATCCACCAAAAAGAAAAGGAGAGCACTGATGGAATGGGTGACACGCAGTGCAGGGCCCCGGGGTCATTCTGCCTTGTTTGGGGCAGCTTTGTTAAGCTGGACACTATTGCTTGAATCAGTGGAGTGATTCAAGAATCCAAAGGCAAACTTGGTAAACTTAGGGGGAAAAAGAAGTTATAAACGAGGAAAAAAACCAAAAAGAGAGCAGTTGTGAGGGAGATCCAGGACACTGTGCTTGCAGCTTCCAGCCCAGCTTCTGCAGGGCTGCCTCATTCTCTGAGGGAGACTTAAAAACAGCACAAGAGGCTTTCCCACAGTTTAGCAAACGATTCACTGTTAATGTTCTTTTCCACGTGAAAGGAGGGGTTTCAATTATTGCAAGGCAGGAGAGGGAGAGACTCAGACAAATGAGAGGGGCTGTGGAAGGACCTTTATCCTGGATCTGCCTCACACAGGGAGGGCTCTCTGGCTGCCAATGACCCAGCAGAAGTGACCAAGTCAAATGTCATAACTCATGTTCCACGGGTTGGAGAGCTTGGAAATGCTAATAAGGAACATGGATGCTAATGAAGCTACCAATTAAGGCATGCAGGTGTGTGGTGGTGTCACTGCACCTCCCCAGACAGGAGGGGGTACCTTCAAGGCGTCTAAAAACGCTCTGCTTCTAAAAGGAGACTTTTTTGACATAGAGAAGCCCACTGAAATCACAAACAGACAGAGCAAAGGCAAAATCACAGTGAGGGAGGGTCTCAGAGATAGGCATACCTAGAAAACCACCAAAATTCTGCAATACATGAACACACCACAGAAGAGACAGAAACAGAGAAAAGTCTCTCCGGGGAACAGAGCAATCTGGAAGAGATTTCAGCTACACACAAGTGAAGGTGAAAAAAAAATTGAAGACTCTGCTTTAGTAATATCAAGCTACTGAGCTGGTGCAGTATCTCCATTTATAAAAAAGCCCTAAAAGGTTAATGTTTGCATTTGAGGCTCTGGATTAATAAAGGATGGGTAAAGCCAGGCTGATAACTGGGCTGATTTTTAACTGACCCATAATTAAGATAGGGGAAACAGAGAAATAATTCTAGCTTTGACAGAACTCTGTTAACCGAAAGTCAAAGCAGAAAGTGATTGACAGAGACCAAAGCAGGAAAGGCTGTGTAATATTTGTTCCATATTTTCAGTAGTTTTTATTAAAAATTATAAATTAAAACCCCACAACCATATACCAGCTTCCCTTCCAAATCCCTATATTTTAATTATGTCAGTGCACAGCACCAGGTTCTCAACACCAGCCAACCCAAAGAGGCTGCAGTGATAACGAGAAGCATAATAAGGGACGTCTAACAGAAGATGAAAAGGAAGTAAAGCAACTGGAAAAAGGAGATCAGTGCAGTAGTTTGGAGGGTAATGGGTAAGGACAGGGAGAAGACACTGTGACACACGAGGGCCCTTTGGTTGTTTAAACACTACCCAGAAAATCTTATGTCCTCAAAGCAGCTGCCAAAGTTTAAATGGGCAGGTCACCCTGCTGCAAACTACAGTTATCACCAGCCAGTGGCTCCTGGAGAAGCCTCTAAGAGCAAATAATTATGGAAGGCTCAGTAAAGTCAGGATGAAAGGGGACAGAATGCCCTGCAATAATGCCAAAGGAGATGTGAATTGAAAACACTTAAAACATTCCCAAAGACTGTGAGCGTTGCCCTTTCCTGGGAGGGAAGCTGTAGGTAACTAATGGGTGACCGAAACTCAGCAGCTTCGAAAGCTGTTCTCCTTTTTAAGAACTCTTTAATGCCCCTCCCGAGGAGCAGCTGGGAGCTCCCAGGCTGGGAGATGCCTCCTCCTGCAGTCGCGGGGCTGGAATTGCATCTCGGTACCACGGAGAGCTCGGGATGCTCAGGGCTCTGCAAGGGGCTTTGCTGCCGGGATTTCATGGACTTTGATAGCGCAGAAGGCACTAAATCCAGTGCTCTGCGGGCACAGAAGCTCTCTCGTTTTTAGCCGGCCCAGGAAAAGTTTGAAGTCAGGGCTTCACTTTCATGGGAATTTAGATGTGGGACCCTGAGCTGTATTTTTCCTGCATGTGAGGCAAATCCACTCCTAATAACAAAGAGCGTAAATAAGCCCAACAACTATTACAAGGATCACTTTTCCTCTGCATTTTAAGTGTTGTTATGGAAAAAAAAAAAACAACAAGCAAATAACCCTGAAGAATTTAATTAAATGCAAAATGCAAAAGCACCAGGCAGAGCCTTTACAGCACAAGCTGTGCAGGCACCAAGCACTGAGGGTTCAGGTGTGCAGCTGTGGCTCAGCAAGGTGCAGCCCCAGGGCTGGACACAACCAAACTGATTTAGATAACTGTGTGTGTGCTCCAAGGAAATAACCTTAAATAACCTTCCCCCCGTGGCTTCCCCAAAAAAGGCACTGCAAGAGTCTCAGGTGTAACCTTCCCTACGATTTTTCTTGATCTCCAGAGGTGTTCAGAAGGGTCTCACCATGACAAGCACAGAGGTGAAGTTTATTGTAAGTGAACAAATGTGTTGCAGCTTCCCCCCCCGGGCTTCCCTGGTGTGCTGCAGAGCCCTGTGAGCTCCTTCCCGTGCACAAGCTGTGTCACACAGCCCCAGAGGCACTCACCTTACCACAGATGTCATTGATGGCCACGTGGACGAAGATGGAAGCCTCTTCTATGCCTTCCAGGTACACGTGTCTGTAACCTGGAACAGAGTGGGCAGAGCTGAGTGGGAGTCCATTTTTAAAACCGCAAACATTTTGTCCAAGGTCAGTTTATTGAGACTGGATGTTGGTTTTAAATCTTAAACACAAACTCCTTCTTTATTTTGAAAGAAGGCTGAACTGAAAACAGAAATGGGAAACGGTCAGCAAATGGCATTTAACAACCTGGATCCCATCATTAGAATGGGTAACTATATGTTCTGCATTAAGCTGTTGCTCACAGTCACAAGAACAATCAAAACTAGTGGCTTTCCAAAACTGGTGTAAAGAAATGGAGGAAAAAACAGTAGGAGATAACTGCAGTAAAGATGCTCTATGGTAGCCTGCCAAGCCCACAGTATTTAGCCATCCTGTTTAAGAGAACTACCCATTTTTCGAAAATCTAGTCCCAAAAGTCTGGAGTTAATTAATTCAGTCTTCATCCCCATGTAAGTCAGTAGTGGACCAAGGCAGAGAACTCAGGGTCCAAACTCCAGTCTCTTGTCCTCACTTGAAACTTCTGCAGCAGACACGTGCACACAATGTAATCCAGCATTTTAACCTTCAGTTATCCCAGAACAAAGGTCCCTAATTTGGGATTTCCCCCTCTGTCTTACCTGGCATCATACTGCTGAATGCTATTGTCCTCTGCCCGATGAAATCCCGCCCGATGGGGTCGTGGTCCCACACCAGGAACCGGATCAGGGCAATCTCGGGCATGTGCACTGTGAACACCAGCGTTTCCTCCCACATGGGGTTAAAACCTGGGGGTGAAGGACCAGCTTTGAGGGATTTCAGTCAGAACATCGAGAAGAAAGCAGGCTGCCTACCTAAGGGGTGCCTGAACTGCAGTGCCATTCCAGTTCTCCCAAAAGAACCCAGTACTGCCCCTGGATTCAGCAGGAGACCCAATAAGGACCTTATCTAAATTTGTCTTTGCTTTCAGCAGGGGTTTGGACAACCTGACTTACTTTTGAGCACAGCAAGCTCAAAACAGCCTTCTCTCACACACAAGAAGACAAATGACTCGTTTTACACCGAGACCCTCAGCACATTTTACCAACTCAGTTAAACAATTCAAGATCCAAGTCTGATCAACATAAAAAATGCTTAAATCAAATTTTCAGTGTTTTGTCATAACAGGCACCAAATCCTATCCACTCCAATCCTTATGGACAAAACTGAAAGAGGATGTTTCAGCTTTAAAAAAAATGAAACCCCAGATAATCTTACCATTGTCATCAACTACTCTGGTTTGCTCTTTGAAGCAATCCACAGGCAAGCCTATAACTTCTACTTCAACAAATGGATCTATGATCTGAAAAACAAAATGTAACAAATATTGAAAAAAATGAGTGACAAAGACGCAATTCAAACACGTGGCTTTTACAATGTGGGCACTGTACTTTAATGTCTCAGTAGTAACTGGTCCTGAGCCATCTGTAATTGTTTATTATGTTGGTAAGATTTTGGTTTTTGTTTCTCCTGGATACACTGTGTTGACAATTGGAAGAAAAACATCAAACCATTGCTGTGGTGCTTAGAAGTGAAGAAAAGCACCTAAAGATCTGGGATGGCAACGAGCCAATTTCCTCACGTTCTGTGACCCCTGATAGACAAGTACAGAAGGTGAAATCCTCCCCCCTAGCCCAGGCACTATGGAAATAAACCCTATGCAACACAAGAACCGACTGTCCAGTACCTCTCCTCTGTCTCCCAGCATGGAATCACGTGGTTTGGGGAGTTGTTGACCACTGATAATTCTTAGAACCAACTGTTTCTTCAACTGACCAGGCAGTGGGTCTTCAGAATTTGGATTAAAGACACCTGTAAGAATGGGAAGTCACATGAAGTGAAAGAAGTGCAACACGACTTCAGTTACAGATACCTTCTGGCTCGTTTGCTTCTAGCATCAGAAATGCATCTATAAACCAGCTGTAACAAGGGTCCACACCCAATCTGCTCCTGCAGTAAGTGATCCACTGCTTTGGCTCCTTGCCCTTACCTTGACACATGCAGTTTGGTTTGAGGACGTAGCCACAGTTCCCATTGGCACTAAATTTGGCCCGGTTCAGCTGCAGCATTCTCCCCTCTGACTGGTAGTTCAGTGCAACTGTTTGAAAAAAAAAAAAAATTAAGAAAAAATTCAGATTTGACTTCTCAGATGCAGAAACTCAGGTGTCTCACGCAAAAGAATTCTCTTACGTGACGTATATCACGTCTTGAGGGAGAGCAGCCCTCCAAAAGAGCTCAGCTCTGAGGCCCTCCTGCACTTGAGAAGTTCATTTATTTCCATTTATCACCCAGCTGGCAGCCAGCATTCCAGAAGGGCTGGGGGTTGTAGAACACCCCCCAGAGCAGAGCAAAGCTGCCCCTGTGCTGCTCACCCAGCTGGCAGCCGGCGTTCCAGAAGGGCTGGGGGTTGTAGTTGCTGGAGTCCACGCGGTACGAGGATGGGTAGATGCGGGACAGCTGGTGCTGGTTGAAGCGCAGGTACTGCGCTGGTTTCTGCTGCAGGATCTGGTGGGCCTTGGTTTCACTGAAAGATGAAACCTGCCAGCTGGAAGAGACTGCAGGGGAGAGAGGAGGAGATTAGAGGTAATCTCCTTGGTTATTTATTTATTATCCAGATAAAGCTTCCAAAGCTACGTAGCACTTGTTCCTTTTAATAAGCAGATACGTGAAAACATTTCAGGTTTTTTGTATAGCAGACTTTTAGTTCAACCTACTTTCACTTTCAACATCATGGATGCCAACAGACTTTGTGTACTTCACCAGGTCAGACAGGGCCCTGGACAGCTTCATTGTTTTCTTCTGTCGGTTTATCCTAGGAAGAGAAGACTCATTAATTTCCCATTAATTAAGGGATGAAGGTTACCTTTCGTATTTTAAAATAAATCAGGGCAAAGAAATATATGAGCCACTAAGGGCTCAAAATGCATAAAAGGTCCACTGTGCTTTACTAATTAGTCTGAACTGCACCAAGAGATCCTTCTGATGATGTTGTGTCTACCCATACACCAGATTCTTCTCTGCCCATACACCAGATGCCTTCAGCCTCCAACAAATTGGCATCTTGACCCGAAGCAAACCTATTTAGTGGTGCAATTATGTAAGTTATCTTTTTTAGAAACAAAACTGTCCAATCACTTGTTAACAAACCTGCTGTAATGTGCAGAGCTCCTGGCTAAATTCCCTTGAGAATCCGAATCGTCTTCACCCTCTTCCAGACTCGAGGCTTTTTTCAATTTGCTTCCTTTTTTCTGTGCCAGAGGGAAATAAAACTGTAATATCATAACTGTGTGATCAAGGTTTGAGCAGCTGGATACATTTCTGCTTTGTTATGCCAATGAGTGTGTTACTTACAGCAAATGGAAAATGACAGCTTTTGTAACACTCAGTGCTGCAGCACATGGGGACAACTCAGCCCAAGGTCTGAGCCTTGTTAGAAAGGAAGCACAAATCCTCAGATAAAAGGTGCAAATGAAGTTTTGGGGGGGGAGTTTTCAGTGAGATCCAAATGAATTTTTTGTGGTTTTTTTTTCAGTCAGACCCCAGGTGCTTTCAGACCTTCATGGAAATTGGAGCTGTGTGTTACGCACCGTGCTGAGCAGCTCCCCTGCAGGAGCAGCCTGAGAGCCAGGTGCTGCAGGCAGAGCAGTTCTGACATCCCTCCCCACTGTGTGCAGAGACAAAACCCCTGCAAGAAATCCGTGCGTGGGGCAGAGCTCACCTTGCGTTTGGAGAAGCTGCCCATGAGGGAGCGGCTGTGCCTCTTGCTGCTGAAATCCTCCCCAGCCTCCACATCGTCCTCCAGTTTGCTCTGGAGGCAGAAGAACAGAACAAGCAGATCAAACAGCGCTGCAGACAGAGCAGCTGCTCAGCAGCACAGAGGGGATGGGTTCCTAACACACGCTGTGCTGTGCTCAGGGATTCTCCAGGTCCTGGCCTTGCAGTGGCTCTTACAAAAATAACTGTCTGATACATCCTGTACATCAGGAGGTTTAAAGCACACACAAAACTCAAGCCTCAGAATGTTTTGGGAAGCTGATTTTTAGTTCTCATCCTTATTTTAGATTTAATCCCTGGTTATTACACCTGCTTATTACTGGCAGATCTCCACTGCTTTTCATTTGCATGGAACAATCTTCTTAAAGCTTTTTGTGGGTTATTACAAAGCCTAAAATGAAAATGCCTCAAATTCATGAAGTGTAGTCTGTGGGCTGAGTGCATTTTTATAAATTAGCATTGATATAAAATTAAAATACAAATGTAAATGCAGAGAACATAGACAGCCAAGGGAAAAAAAAACCCTCAACTTTCATATGCAGTTTTTAAAATGGAAAATCAAAGTCCTTTCTCGTGTACATTTCATGCTCCAGTTGCTGTGTGAGCAAGAAAAAAAACTGGTGTATCTGACAGTGATGCTCACCTGGCATCATTATTGACTGCAGGAATTCAGCTATGAAGCTGAAGTCAATAATATATGGATTCAGTAAACTAATAAAACACAAGGACAATAAAACATGCTCACCTTCTTACTATCAGATTTCAGCCCAGCCTTTCCTGCTGATGGGAGAGTGGAAACTGTAAAATTGTTCGGATCTTCACAGTCACGGATTTTGGATTCTTTTATCAGTGAGTCAAGCTTTTTCTTCGCTATATTCTCCACTCTCTTCCTGTTAGCAGAGGCCTACAGACAGAACAGAACCATTAAACCAGGTAGTGATGAAAAAAGTAATTTAAAGAAAAGTAATTAAAACAGTTCTAATTAAGGCAAGACTGACCCCTGGCAGAGCTACTCAGATGTAATGTCTGCTCTGCTTTTGTCCAAACTGTCCCTGCGAAGGTTTAGAACCTAAAACACTTGTGATGAACCCCACAGGCCACATCCACTTTCCAGAGAACTCATAAAAGTTTCTTCTCCCCGGGATGGGAAACCTTGATGTTCATTTACATGCAGCTTAACTTACATCTCCATTCATTAGTTTGCAGTCATCATCAATCTCATCAGCACTGTCCTCATCAGAAACTTCTCCTTCCTCTGCATCATCACTGATGTTGGCTGGAAGTTTCTTGCCCTACAAAATAAAACCATCACTCAGGCAGGTTTTCATGCAGCTCTTGCCACCACACCTTTCAAAAAAAAAAAAGAACATTAATAAAAATTATTCAAAGCAGCCACCAGGTTCTTGCTGACTGAGAAGACATTTGTTCAGAACCTTAAGCATCAGTTCTCAAAGAGTGCTTTTTGTGAGAGGGTGGAAGTTGGGGTGCAAGTGAGAGCCAGGCAGGAATGACCATCAGCACAACCAGAAGGAGGGACAGGACAAGTGGAGCAGGAGCTCACCTTGACCAGGATCTTTCCTTTCAGGCTGGCAGGCGAAGGGAGCTTCGTGGAGTCCTCGCTGTGCACGGAGGACAGGTCCAGTTTGTCCCCCAGGATCTCTGTCAGGTACTGAGCCATCTTCTTCTGCTGCACGATGCTGCAGTGGTTCTCGATGGACAGGATAACGGGGTACCTGGCACAGACAGAGCCACCAGCAACTGCAAATTTAGCTGTTCCAGCGTGAAGAGGAGAAGGGTTACTGCTGCCTGGGCATTCCTGTGGCAGCACCACCAGTGACACCCACAGGGGACATAAATCCCAGCGGGCACGGGACTGATACCCCACTGCTCCCCCCAGACTGAATGGCTGATTTTCTGACAGGCATGGGAGAATTAAACTCCTGCAATCTGATCTGATGCATTTTTATGCCAGAGCACACTTGTCACCTTCCTACACCACTCAGCCCTGACCCCCCACCAGAGACTCCAGCAAGCGGTTCCTAAGGAAAACCCAAACACCAGTGCCACCAGCTCTCCTCTCCAACTGGTCCTTCAGCCCTTCTGTACTCGCACACAGAAAAGTAAATAAAAGCTACAAGAACTGAAAAGATCCCCAAGGGGGCTTTGTCTTCACCTTCCCACTTCCAACAACCAAGTGATAAACCTCTTGTGTCAGTTCTTCCACGAATACTTTTCTAATCAGCAAGAGAGCAGTGTTACACAAACAAGCCTGTAGACAAAGCCTCTGCTGCAAAGACAGCCAGTGTTATTTCTAGACTCAGCTTTATTGTTGTCATTTATTGTGTTGATTCTCCAGGCTGAGCCCAAGGAACAGCAATACCTGGTTGTCTGAAAGGGAAGATCAAGGTAAGATTTGTGGAACATCTACTCCAGTGTGGCTGGTGCCGTGTAAAACCACTCTAAAGATGGATTTCTGTGCAGAGATGATGCGTTTTTTTAGGATAAACACAAAAGCCTGTGCACAATGCAGTTTTGTAGGGATGAATTATCAGGGATTCATTAATTAAAAACCAATTATGTCTATCCTGACATCTGACCCTCATTAGCTCCTCATCAGGAAAAATAAGGCTTTCAGCCAGTGTCTGCAGGACAAAACTTCCCCAGTTGATGACGTGGTCCCAGTTAACCTTTCTGCAAAGGTTTGAAGAACAGAACAATTTCAGAAGCATTGCCATACATTCTGCTGGCAGCTTCCTTTGATTTATTTACCCTGTCTTCAGGGAATCTGAAAAATTTCAGGCTTGGAATTTGTTTACCTGGTCTGAAAGTTAAATGTAAGTTTTGCTCAATTCATAAAGGCAGATGGGCTGCTCTGGGGAAGCTACTGGAAACTTTTTTACAGAGATAAATTATTTTATCTCTAAGAAAAAAAAAAAGATTGGTTGACTGTAAGGAGGAGGACAGTAACTGCCAAGGCATATGAAACCTCCCATGTATAATGCTTTGATTTCCTGAGCAATGTACCTGTAGGGAACATCACCCTTTTCTCCTGAGCATTCTGCTTTCCCCACAATTGGACACCTGACTGTGGATTCCTGTGCTGCCTGACTTGTTTCCTATCCCTGGAGCATCAGAGTACACACCCAGCAGGAGATGTGGTTAAACTGCCAGCCCTCCACCAAAAACATTCACTGGCCAAACATACCATTCCCCTGGTCTTCTACAGTGGCAGTGCCAGCCCCACCCCTCTGTGTGAACCCCTACTCAGCCTGGCCTTGCTATCGCTTCCTGAGGGCTTTCCCCTTGGAAAACAGCCAAGAATTGTGCCAGGAATTCTGTGGGTTGGCTCTGCACCCACAGAGGATGGCAGGGAACACCCCCCTGCACAGCCCCAGGACTCAGAGGTTGGCACACTGGGTACATACTCGTTCTTGATAAAGGCATATTTGTTGATGGTTTCAATCACATCTTTGAAGAGAATTTTGGAGGTCAAAGTGTATCCGTGGTGGACAATCGGCTCCCCATCCGGCCCATCCCAGCAGTCAACTGTGGGACAGAAACAGCAGCACCCATCAGGCAGGAACACCGGGGCCACCAGCTGGGGCACACCCGGACCCTGCAACTCCCCCCAGCAATCAGCACAGCAGGGCCCAGGCTCCCTGCCAGCCCCTCCTCACTCTGCTGAGCATCCCTCCTCAGAAGGAACTTCCTGGCCTGGAATGTCTCCTGGGACCAGAGGTTTGAGAAAGCCCCCAGCAAAAAAAACTCCATTTCACCAGTGCTGAGGAGTACTGGGACAGGACACACTCCTCAAACCTTATTTCCAGGCTCGAGGAAATTTGTCCAGTATATCACAACGTTGTTTTGTTGTTCTTTATGAGGGGGTGACACCACTTCCCTCCCTGGCTTTTCCCTCTACCCGATATCAGCACGTCCTCTGCAGAACTCAGGAGTCTTGCCTTGCAGAGAAACAAACCAGCAGATGTGGCTGCCTTTCGCTCTTTACCTTCCACGCAGCGGCAGCCGGACTGCAGCACCCAGGCATACATGTCCACCCGTGACTGGGACATCAGCTGGTCTCCCATGAGGTAGGTGTTGTGTGAGGAGGTAATGAAGTAGTGACTCAGAGGGTAGCTCATGTCCTGGTTCACGTGGTAGTGCTCGGGGTTGAAGATGTCCCCTGATGGGCTCCGCATGTAGTTGGTGAAACCTGTGAACGAACGACACCGTCAGTAGTGCAGCTCTGTCCTTTTGGCTGCTGTAACCTTCCTAAAGCCGGCCTAAAAATGCGTCCCCGTGTTCACCAACACGTTCATGAACATGTAAGATAAAGGAACAGCACCACTGCACCCCAGCTGTCGCCATGGCCAAGCGTGGTTGCTGCTTTTCAGGAAACCTCCAGTTGCTTCGCACGCTCTCCCTGCTCTGCCTTTCCTTTTGAGGCTTACAATTTGTGTCAAAAGATTCTGCTGGGACGTCACATCACATGGCATATAAAAGCCCCCAGAGATCTGCAGTCACATCCTGGCACTGCTCCTCAGTGAGGAGGTGTAAGATCTGTGGTATTGTACTGCCTGCAGACAGTTCAGGTGGCCCAGCAGTCTGAGACAAGGGAGACACTTTCCTCTCCTTTCCTCTCTTTCTCCCCAAAATACCAGAGGAATGTCAGCACACATTGCACAAGCTACACCCTGGAATTTGGATAGGACACCTCATGCACAGACATGCCTGTGGAGGGGGATATCTGCAGAACTGCATTAATGTCACTTCAGACACAAGTTCACTCCAGGCTTGACACCAGAATATCAGTTAACAGTGGGGCTCTCAGTGCTGCCACCAGGGGAATGTTTTCCCCAAAGCAGTGGGATGCTTGCAAACCCTGCAGACATCAGCACCTGGACCATTTGTGCACTGCAATCACCACTGCTGCTGAGAAGCAAGGTTTTGGCCAGTTCTGATTTTTCTGCTGCCCTCAGATCCCCAGTGTAACATTCGTGAACACACACAGACACTGCCACAGATCAGACTAACATTAAACACTGTCACTTCCATTTCAAGCAGCCCCCAGATATTTTTCGTTCACCACCAAGGAAAGACTCCTATTCCCATTCCCACCCTGGCTTAGCTGCCAGCCTCTATTCGGCAGGTCTCTGCTTCCAGACTGCTGATGCTCCTGACATTTCACTCATTCCATAAATAAAACAGTGCCCGTGTAAAATCCTGCCAAACTTCTGAAGGGCTTAGCACACCTTCTTTGACTGTGACAAGACAAAATGTCACCTTTATGAGGATTCTCCTAGGCTATACATTTTGTGTTGATGAAAGTTTCATTAAAGGAAAAGAGCTGATAAATACAAACAGCAGCCAAAGCTCTTTGAACAGCGCACAGGGCGCGGCGCAGGGAACTCGGCTCAGCCAAACATCTGAGGCTCTTGAGGCACCACAATCAGCAGTGGCACAGCCAGGGTGAGAACAGAGGAGCAACCAATACAGACCCATGAATCAACCTGAAAGGACAAAGAGCACTGAGCTATTATTTTAGTACTGCTGAAGGGCTGCCAAGAGTGGGCAGGATGGTCCTGCCTGGGCTGCAGCCACAGGAGGAATAAACCCCCAGCTCCAGCTGCCATGGCTGGTGTGGCCCTGGCCCCCAGGCAGCACCTGATTTGTCTGCTGGAGGAGGGATCTGAAGTCTCCACTGCCCACATGATGCAATGCACACACATCCAATGATGCACATGCAGGCACAGACCATGCTTTGAAGCAGCTCTTTCTCCTCTGCCAGCACCACCCCAGCAGTGTGTCCTGCCAGCTCCTCATCACCTCTGTTTGGATGTTATCATCAACACAGCCCCCAAATCTCCTCTGGATCATGCCTGCTCTGTTCTGCTGCACTTCCAGCAAGATGCTGGAGTGGTTGAAGTCCTGAAGCTTTTTCCAGTTGTCTCCAAACAAGCCCATCTGCTCCCTGCTGATCAGGAGATCTGTAGCAGAATGTCCCCATGTTGGATTCTCTCTTATCCTAACACATAAACTCTCAATTGTTTTATTATCCATTCTTAGGCAAAGCAACTGGATAGATTTTTTAAATTTTTTTTCCTTTAGGAAAACCTGCATTAGTTTAAAAAGCCCAGTCTCACTTTTCTAGCCATGAGGAAGGCAAGATAATGAACCTGATTATTCCTTATTTACATGACTGCAACTGACTGTAAAGACCAGAAAATAAAAATATGAATATGTCAACTGCTCCCTCACTGGCGTTAGAATAAGCTTTAAAGTAAATTGAAAGTTTATTCTGGAAGTTGAACAGACCTGAATCCATCCTAAGCAACCATCATTTCTTGAAAAAAAAAAAAAATCCACTCTGTACCAGAAACTACCAACTTCTTCATGCAGGAAACCAAACAACCTCTATTTTGCCACTTTTCAGGATGACAACACACCCACAGAAATGGGCAGGACTGACCCTCCAGAGGTCCCAGAACTTTTGCACAGAAGCTAATGCCTGAGGAATGTACTCTCTCCTTGGATTCGGTAAGATCTGGCAGAAGATTTACTGTTTAGGGGAAAGAATTTACAGTCAGCCCCCAAAATAAGAGCTCCCAGCTGATGGCACAGCATGGATATATTCACAGTGAAGGTTTAGCAGCAAAGGGCAGGAAGGCATGACCCCCACAGATTCCACCCATCATCCCACTTCACACATTTACCCTGGAGCTCATCACTCCTCTTATTAACACTTAATGGGCTTCCAAAAATGCAGGAATGATGCAACTGAATTCGACTGTATTTTCCAGAAGCACAAATAAAGACTCATCCAGTTCCATCTGGCCCTTCAGGGACTGCTGCTTCATCTTATGTGCCTGTCAAAACTCTTCCAAAGAGACCCAACTTCCCTTTAGGTTCCTCAGCAAATAATAGATACTAAGAAACCAAAAAGGCTGGAAACACTCTCTGTACAGCACGACAAAATCTATGACCAGATGTTATGCAAGTAAAAGCAACATTCTCCTGAGCACTGAAACAGTTGCCTTTTCCCTGCACCCCCAGCTTACCATCAATCCCCAGAGCTCCCTCCTTCTTGTTCTCCAGGCACGGCTCAAACTTGTTGATGATCTCCAGGCAATGCTCTTTAGTCACATTTGTCATCTGGAACAGCAGCAGAAACCAAGTGTTAACTGTTAATCAATCACAGCCTCTCTCAGCTCCTCGCTCTGCACGCAGTTCAGCAACCGGGCAGATCATCCACGGTGGGATTCGGGATTTCCAGTTCCCGGCAGGTTCTCACTCCTGTCACTCAGTGTCAGGTCAGATCAGAGCAGCAGCACTTTGTGAGCAGTTCTGTGCTATTGGCAGCTGCCTGATCACAGAGTTCTGCTTTGTAGGTCAGATCTGTTATTAGGCACCAAGAGCATCCAAACAGAACAAGCTTTGTCACAAACCAATGGGATTTCTTCTCCTGTAGGATTAAAGGATTAGTTTGCATTATCAAAGGGTTTTTTACTTTAAAATAAAGCAAGAAAAGGGTTCATCTTTATGCAGCAGACAGAAAAATCTGTTACTAGCAGGGAAACAGAGATTCAGGACATAATGTTCTCAGGAAGAATCTGCTAACTTCAAGGTTGCTTTGCATTCTCAACTGAAAAAGAAAAAAGTACAAAGGGGAATATATGTCTGGAAACGTCGTCTGGAAATGTCACTTATAAAAACAGGGCCATTTATGTTGAGCTATTAACACTATTAATTCATATTCCTGCTCTTTACTGTTGATTTATTCTCTATTATCCGTGCTATTATTTCCCATTCCTGTCCTGAGTGGTCCAGCAAACCCTCCCTGTGAGATGCTGCACATGACATGAAAACACAGCCCTTGTCACCAGAGGGGACTGCAGTGGAGTGACCACATTGCTGACAGTTTTGGCAGCATGGAACCTTTGCTCAGGGGGAAATGAAACCACCAGCACATCTGCCACCAGATCACTGCCTTCTCTGGGGGCGATTTAAAACCTAATAAACAGAAGAAGAGGAATTAAAAAACCTCCAGCTCTGGGTTTGAACATACATGATCCGTTTGCTGGTTCAAAAGACAAGGCTCTTCTGGCATAGAATGATCAGGTTTTCCCTGTGCATGTGGTGTGAGGAAGGCAAGGGAGAGAAGCCCCCCAGGCAGGATTTGTCCGTGTCAGTAATTAGCTGAGCTGATTTGTGTCCTGTCACCAGCCAGTACATTTGTTCCTGCACTCAGAGACAACTCCTCAGGACCTCAGTGTATTGCAAAAACCTTTCCATACATTAGTCGTTCCCTCAACAGCTCTTGAAAAACAAAAACCTTACAAACTGAGCTAGTGTGACAGAGTAATTCAGTGTTTCATCACAGACTGTGCACTCAGTCCCAGGCAGAGCCAGAAACACCAGCTTCGCTCCAGGATACAGAACACTGGGAACAGACAGATGCTGATGGAATTTTTCTAGGAGAACACATGAAAAAAAAGAAAGGAACTGTAGAGATTAAATTTAGGGGCACAACAAAAGAGCCTACGGAAAAAAAAAAAAAAAAGGTAATGAGAGCAAGGAGATTGAAGAAATAGTCATGCCAGCCTACAAGATGGAAATCAAGAGACGTTTAACTGTCGATGTTTTCACACGCACAGCGCTGAAGTTCCCTCCTGTTTCAAAGGCAAACAGAAGGACAGCACACTGGAACTCTCCTCCTGGCTCGGGCCCACCTTCTGCTCGGTCTCCAGGAAGCGCCTCAGGTCGTCTGTGTCCAGGTAGTCCTTGTGGTTGCTGTAGGTGAGCAGCAGCAGGTACAGATCGCGGCGCGTCGACATCATCTTGTAGAAGGCACAGAACTCCTCGAAGTCCAGCGTGCCCTGGTTGTCATCCGTGTCAGCCTCCTGCACACACAGCAACGGGACGGTCAGGAAGCCAGCTGCCTGAACCAACCTTACCCAGACAAACTCCTGCACGAGAACAAACCCTGGATCAGCAGCAGGTTGGTGCTGATCCCTGCAGGAACAGGCTGGTCTGTCAGGCCGAGCCCTGTCACGTGAATGCTTTGCACAGCTTTTCCCTCACACCTCAGTGCAGGAGCCAAGGATAACGTTTAGGGTCTCTACTGTTGCACAGGGAGCCCTCTGGAGCATTCCTCCTACCCCTGGCAGTGAGTGAGGCAGTGTACCCTGCACAGAACTACCAATCCCATCTTCTTGAGGAGACCCCTGGGACCCACGTTATCTGGAAATTAATTTGATATCCAGGGTTTGAGAGGATATCTGTTAAATCCACAGCCATAAACCGATAATATCTGCAACAATACTAGTTTTGCAAGTAGAGAGAAAAATCACCAGGGATTTCACATAAAGGCTTCCTGGTCCCTGGAGAGACTTTCTGATGACAGCAGCTACACATCTCCATCGTTCAGCTGCCCACCAAACTGGGTCAAGGTCAGCAGAATGAAATGTCAAACAAACAGCTCTTAGCAGTGCAAAAATATGACAGATAGAGAAGTTTTCATGCTGGGTATTTTATTACTGTAGGATATTGGATACTTTACTGGATAATATTTATTACAGAGAACATAATCAGAGGAGGAGACGTGGCTGAGTTTAGCGAAAAAGCAATCTTGGTACTGCTGAGTGTCTCCATGTTGTGTAACACCAGGAGGTACCTGGTGTATGGCCTTTTTCTGTGCATAACAATTTATCTCTGACGTGTTTCTGGAGCTCTTTTCAATTTACCAAATGGACTGTGTAGTATCTCTCAGCAGAGTGGAAGCAACCCAACTGCTGAAGTATTTGCAATCTCTCCTACTGGGTTTCATGTTAAATCCTCGTTCTTTTAGAAAAACAAACAAACAAACAAACAAACCCAAATGTTTTCATTTCTTACCTTAAACATTTGCTTGACTTTCTGTCGGGGCAGGTTCACATTCAGTTTGTGCATGAGCTGGAGCACTTCACTAATACTCAGACTGCCATCACCGTTTTTATCTGCCTCATCAAAGGTCTGCTTCAACCACATTGAGCAGGGGTTAAGGAACAGCGTGGAACACTGAGGGGTATTACTGCACTTTAGGTATATATGATTTTTTCCACAGTAGGGAAAAACTGGAAATGAGACTGGAAATGAAGGAAAGTTCAAGATAATATCTAACTCTGCTCATGTTAGTTCAGCTGCAGTTTTCTGCCATGGCACAGCTCAGCAGAACACACTGAGTGAACTCATCACACCTCGTAGAACCAAACAAAATGGGAGGTTTTACACTGGGAGCAAAAGATGAAGGAATACCTGTATGGCTTTCAGTCCACTCGAGGCATTCATCTCCAAATCTCACCCAGAACAATCCCCTCCAAGGACTCCCCTGCCTCTGGAAACAGGGAATACAAGGGGAACTGCTTTGAAGCTTTGAGCCTAGTGCTTACTTGCAGCCAAGCTGTAGGGAATGCCAGTGCTCCCCACAGCTCTCCTCTGCTGGGAAACCCCCCAGCAGCCCAGCAAGGATATTGGTCTCTGGTCCTCTGGCGCTTGGACAGGCTGTCCTCGTCACTGATCCCTGCCATCAGGTACTTCAGCCCCGTGATCCAGGTCCGGGCCTCCTCCGCGCTGGAGCTCACCAGGTCCAGGGATTCCATGTGGTCTCCGTGGTAGATGCTGAAGCAGCAGTTGGGGTCGAAGCTGCCATCAGCGTAGCGCTGGAAGATCTCCGACTGCTTCCCCTCACACACCTCCTGGATGGAGTCGATGGAGACTGGAACGACCAAAGCATGGAGCTCGTTAATGACTGTGTGCCTGCCCCGGGGCAGGCAGGAGGGTTCATCCTGCACAGAAATCCCACAGACAAATCCCCAATCTCACTGCAAGGGCCCCAGCTCACACAGGGGTTGCCTCCTACTCATTTACAACATCCTACCGCGCCCTGCAACCTGCACAGCCAACAACAGCAATTTAACCTTCAGAAATCATTCATCATAAAATCACTTGCCGCCCTTTAAATTCAACCCCAGCGCTCTTCTTGATCACCTGTCAATGATCAACCTCCTGCTGCCAAATCCTTCATGCTGGTTGTTCTGTTAGGAGGGCAAGACCCCAGGAGGGCTGAGAAGGGAGGCTCTGTGGCTGACACTCACTTTTGGCTTTCTCATTCTTCCGGGAGGGTCTCCAGCGGATGCAGGACCTGTGCTCGTCCAGGTAGTAGAAGCGGACCAGCCCTTTGGATCCCCCACGGAGCTTGATCATTTGGGTGCCAGCCTGCATGGAGCTCATGCATCTTTCCACTGAGGAGAGAAGGAAAGGGACAGCTCCAAGTCAGACCTTGCTGCCTTCAGAACTGCCCTTGCAGGAGGGAAACACACCAAGCAGCTGCCACGTGAACAGTTCAAGCCACAGGACAAGATTTCCTGCACTGTTTGGTATAAGAGGTCGGGTATACCATCCCAGGGTCAGGAAGATTCTTGGCAACTGTGGACTTACCTGTAAATGTGGTGTTTTCCCTCCCATACCAACTGCGATGGAATGTCCATATGTTGGAGCCAGCACAAGGCACGTGCCCTTCTCGAGCACCTCGAATGCTTTGTCTGGGCTCCTGCAACCAGCAGACCTTGTGCTGGGCACTGGAATCCTTGGCCAGCAAGGTCCCATTGCTCCTGTGGATTAAGCCACTGATCCTGCAGATTTGCTTCCAGATGCAGTGGCAAGGACCCGACAGATTTTCCGTCCTCCCCGTCACCCAAACCCCGCTGTGCTGGCAGGGGCCTTTCACCTGAGCTTTGGACACCGAACCTTTCCATCCCTGGGGCCTGGCCATCATCCAGGCAGTGCAGTGGCAGCTCCTGCAGGGGCTCTGCCCTGCCCTGGGGCTCTGCCCTGCCCTGGGAGCTGCTGCAGAGCTGTGGCTGCTGCAGGCACAGCCCCACAGCCAGGCTGGGCTCAGCCAGGGCTGGGCTGTTCCTGCTCTCCAGCTGCTGCAAGCGCTGAGCTCCATCAGTGCCAGCTGGGAGCCACTGGCTCTGGCCCAGAAGAAATGCAGACTCATATTTTCTGCCAAGTCTCCCATTTATTTCCTACAGTGACAGAGCAGAGCCTGTGACCTGATTTCCTATGGCTTTTCTGCCTGATCTGTTTAAGGAAAATTAAAACTATGATCGTGTCCAGTGTTGGGTTTGGGGTTTTTTTCAGACCTGGAGATGAGAAGTGTAAATTGCAGCTAAGATTCTGGATGGAAGAATGACAACTAATACATGTAATGCACATTCCAGTGAGTCCGGATTTATAAATAAAAACACTCATTCCATGTATTCCAAAATGCATCAAAACCAGCACAATTCTTTGGTTCGAGTCCACCTCTCATGCAAAAGCAAAAGCACCCAAGAGAAGCAAGGTAGAGTAAAAAGAAATGGGAAAAAGCACTGACAGTCCTGTGCTTTAGAGCTCACATTCAGACAATGTCAATTAATTTACTCTGGAAAAGAAGGTTCAACATTTTGATTTGAAAGCAGGTCACTGTAATAACAGAAAATTTAAATTTAAAGCCATAATTCTGTGGTGGAGTAAATTGTTCATGTTAATACAATATTTATGGAGAGAAGGTGTGGAATTAAGAACAAGATAATCCCTCATGTAACATTTTGTTTCTTAAAGCTGATCCCTTGGCTTCAGTCAGAACCTCAGACAAATCAATGTGGTCAGCAGGAATTAGTCATAAAGCCAGTGCTGGGCCAGAAACATCCCTGGGATTCACTGCAGCCTCAGACCCAAACTCAGCCCAACCCTGTCCCAGACACTTCAATGTTTTCAATACCTGCTTTCATTCCAGTGCAGGAGAAGATAAATATTTCTCAAATTTACTGAGATAATAATCATGGAAAGCTTTAACTTATTTCACAAGGCTTAGAGATTTTTTTTTTGGGGGGAAAAAGTGGTCAAAATAGCTAAGAAAAGAATTTCTCTTAACACTAATCACACAGACTTCAAAATCACATTAAATGTCCAACTCCTTCTTTGGAAGTTATAGCAGTAAATAAATAATCTTATTTGAAGAAATGAGGGAGAAGAATCAAAGATCACACCTGGCACAAAGCAGGAAATAATAAAGCACCAAAATAGAAGCGAACTTTATGTAACAAACATTTACTCTGCTTTCACATGAAGTCAGAATATGCTCCGTGCTGTTCAAATTTTAATAAGCATCCTTGGACTGCTTTTTCACTGCAGCTGTTCACTCTGTGGCACTGACACACACCCTCCCCTGTCTGCAGGACTTAAAGTTCAGAGCAGAAAAGAAATAAATGCAAGTGGTGCTTGTATCAAACAGAAAATCACCTGGTTTTTTCTGAAATCCTTCCCAGCATGGAAAAGAGAAGGGCACACTGCTGAGAACACGAGCAGGACTGCTTCTCCTTGCCATTGTTAGATACCTCTGTAAGGATTCATTTCCACACTTCAAACAAAAATCCCCCAGTCTTGCAATGAATCATTTTTCTGGAAGAAATGGCTCCTAACAATCTTTAATTAAGGCTGATTTAAGACTTTTCTGTTTTGCACGTCATGAGTACCTTGTTTTTTTTCAGAATTCAGCTTATGTTCAGTTCTCTTCTAATGAGTTGCCTCGATTTGCATCTGGACAAACCAGCCAGGGAGAGAAGATGGATCTCTGTTCTGCAGCAGAGAGCACTGCGAGAGCAGAGCAGGGAACAGGAACGTGGAACACCCAGTTCCACACGGGACTGATGCAGCAAGAACATGCAGGGGGACTTTTCATACTCCTTAGTGCCAGCTGTAGCTGCTACACGGGGTTTTAAAGGAACAATAAACAACCAAACCACACAAACCACAAATCCCTACAACTTGTCCTGAAACAAGGGGCGAGAAGAGGCCGATTCCATGCCTATTGTTAGAAAGATGTTCTAATGTCTGCAAACTGATTATTTATGGTTCAGTAGCGGCATTGTCTTCTAGGAGTTTCTGGGTTTGATGTAAATGTGTGAAGCAGTGGGAGTACTTTAGCATGTGGGGATGGAAAGAAGTTTAGAAGGATTGAGTCACTGGATATTTTTGTCCAGGGAGCAGCTTTGTCAGAAGAGCCATGTCCCGGGTCCGAGGTGGCCCTGTTGTGTCCCACACCTCGTCCCCAGCGCAGTGACACGGCAGCACCAACACCCCTGCTGGGCTCTGCCCAGGAACACACCCTGGGGGTGCACCCTGACCGTGAGCTTCACAACCACCCCTCTCCTAAACCGTGCAAGGAGAGGGAGTCGGGTTGGAGGGATTTCTTCCCCCCTGGGGCCCCCGAGGCTGCGGCAGAGCCCAGAGAAATCCCCCTGGAACACCAGCACGGGAAGGGAGAGTTATCCCCTGAAAATATCCCCAAACCACAACAGCCTTCCCACACACAAACAGAGTACTCCCACACTTGTCACACATTCAGCGCTGCAAATCCATTGAGGAGATAATAATTGCCCCATTTTTCAAGAGTCTCACTGGAGATGGACTTGCAGCTACGAGCGGCTCATCGATACAGAAACCCAAGAGCTGGCTGGTCCAGCTATTCCTGCCGGGAATGGCAGCTCCCCTTTAGGCAGGAGGCATCAAACATCCACAGAAATAAACACAGAAATATAAGAATCCGAAAGCACATAAGTATGTAATATCCATGTGTATAATCTACACGTGTATATAACATACCCAGTGCAGTGTGGGGGATCCCAGTCAGCTGAGCTGTCAGGAGGGTGTTTTGCCAAGGCTGCAGGTGACCTGTCTGTGGTGTTCCTGGCCAGGTGCACCAGGCTGGCTCACATCATTACACTGGATCCAGTTAAAAACCAGGCCACAGCCAACCTCATTAATCTTCATTTCTTTCATTTTGCATCCCTCCAGCCTTGTGAGCAGGTCCCTCTCACCTTCTGAACCAACCATCCTATTCCTGCTGTAAGAACTCTCTCCCCCCTGGTGGCTCTCACTGGCTCAAGCCTCACTTCTTTCCAGGACTCTCTACTGATCACTGGCCAAAAAAATCTGGAAGTGCCTCTGGAGAAGCAAATTTCTGTGTAATTCTGCCAGCAATGGCTGGGACAGTGTCCACTGTGTACAAGAGATAATGGAAGACTGAATCCATCCCTAAGGTGCACAATCCCTAATAAATGAGATGCTAATGGGAGAAGAGATGCTCTTAATCCTGTGGAAATTAGGGTGCTTAATTGGAGGGCAGGCTGTCAGCTCTCCAGCCCTCAGTTCAGACTCTCTCAGCCATCTGGGTCCAGCCAAGAGCACAAGCACAGCAGGATGGTTTTTTTTCTGGGTTTATCACCTATTTCAACAAAAGGCTGATATGAGGGGACCCAAACAGGACCCTTCTCAGAGAGCTGGAGAATTCTGTGTATCAGTATTCAGAAAACAACCTCCCAGGAGTCCACTCACCTGCCATGGGAGAAGAGAGCAGAGATACTCCTAAACACTCATTTTAAAAACTCTAAACCCCCAAAACTGCATGAAAAATCAACATGTTAGGAGGTGTGCAAACCCTGGCAGAGAACAAACCCAACTCACTGTGGGCAAGGAGAGGGAGATGGATTCTGTGCAACAGAACATTTCCAAGTTGCACCTGTCAGAATGTCCAGCTTTGCTTTAGCTTTTCCTGAGGAACATGAAGAAATCAGTAATGAAGTTATAAGCGAGGGGTTGTTGAGGCCCAAAAGAGCTGCACTCCCAGCCACGAAACACAACATTGCCCTGGGGCTGTCCCACGTTCTTCCTTCCTTTCTACTCCCCCACTCTGCTGCTGGACAAAGGTGTCAATAACTCAGATCTGGATGGGAAAGCTCTCAAGGTGTTCCCTGGAGTGCCCAGGGCCCAGCTTACCAAAGTGGCCGATCTTCCAGCGCGGGGACGCCACGATGCTGCCACCCACCCAGAAAAAATCCTCGGCCAGACAGGCCACTGAGAACTTGTTCCTGAGCAAGGGAGACCTGGAGACATCCATGTCTGAGAATTTGTTCCTGAGCAAGGGAGACCTGGAGACATCCATGTCTGAGATGAGCTGACAACAAGCACCGACGGCCCCGGGAGGTATCAAGGTCCTGTAGCACACATTTTCCATGTAACAGCATCGAAGTATTATCGGGAAAAAACCAAAATGACAGGTGATTTCCAAAATCCAGTGGTATTTTTAAGGTTGTTACAGGACAGTTTTGCAGTAAATTCAGGCTTCCTTCGTGCTCCAGGCTTAGAATATTAAAATCCCAACCAAATCCTTTGTATTCTGTGGGACCTACCTCTGTGT